AGAAAAAAATTACTATTGTTATAAATAACGCATTCAATTGAACTAAACTATGCATGCCTATTTAAATATACTTACACATGGCTTGTGTGTATATCGTTTATATACATATATATTATTCATACTTTCGGTGTATAGGACGCAAGCAGATTGTGACATCAAATTTTGGGGTAAAAAAATGCGTTTATACATCGAAAAATACGATAAGTTGAAATCTGTGTGCAGTCCTGTTAAACACTATCTGCCTTTGTAAGACCATCCACCTATAGAACCTTAGTAACATAATCCGCCTAGCAACACCCTCCATCTATACAAACACTATCTTTAGTAAAACAATCTGTCTATACAAACACAGTTCACCTTTGTATGTTTGTTTGTTTGATGTTAAGCACAAAGCAACACAATGGGCTATCTGTGCTCTGCTCACCATGAGTATCGAAACCCAGATTCTAGCGTTATAAGTCCGCAGACATATCGCTGTGCCACTGGGTGGTGTCTATCTTTGTAAAACATATATAAAAACACTGTCCTTAGTAACATTATCTGCATTTGTAAAATATATTTCATGTTTTACTTATAAGGTTCAACTGAAAAATGAATGTTATGCCTACTAAGACCATACACCTCTAAAACCTTAGTAACACATTCTGCCTATTGTAAAACTATCCACCTACATAAACACCATCTGCATTTCTAAGTCTTTCTTATATTCAAAAGTTATTTAAACAAATAAAAAGTGATAGAATTTTGTTTGAAAAGATTTCTAAGTTGTAACAATGGAGGTTGAGTACCTTATAGCAAAACGATTTTGGAGCATCCCCATATTGCTACAATCCATGTCACTTTGTCCAGTCGTGCTCTGTATGGCGACCGTGCATCTTAACAATAGCTCTACAGCATAGATTCCATTGAAAAAGGCTCTATTATAAGGCTGTCATGTCCAAAGCACACTATTCTTCTTTTAAGGTTTTCCATAAGCCATTGAAGATGATGTTTTCCCAGCACTTGCTTCAACGGTTTGATTGCATAGGCACAGCTTCTGACGTCTCCGTGTGGAATAGCATGAATACTTATTTCATTCTCCATCTACTTGGAGTGTGTAACTATTAACAAATATGTGACCGAAACAACTGTGTGCACGTGACTTGTTTCGCTTTTCCAGACAGAGATCATGCTTTATTATTTTTATACTGTTGCTATACTTTTGTCACAGACTTTTGTGTTCTTGGATTTTAACCTGGTATGAAACGCCGCACTTCGCTTTCCACAGCTAGAATATGCATTAATACCGTTCATTTCCGAATAGCCCTAGTATCCCAAGTTGATCCATATTTTTTGTTTTCAAGAGTCCTTAATTACAAGGGATATCTCCGCCTTGGAAGTTCTAAATCCCCGATCTAAATGCATCTTAATGAGACGAATGTATGAATATTTTGTATCGGAAAGAGTTGTTCCCCAAATCAATCAGATTTCGTTAGCATCACACTAGCTACGTAACGCCATACAACATCAAAATGTAGTTCTGATACAATTTGTCCCGCCCCGACTTTATATCCTCTATAATCATCACGTGACTTCTAATTTGCATAATATAACGTACTCAACCCTCTGTATCACTATATTAATATATTCTAAGAAGGAACACTGGTTGCTTTATATATGCTCTGTATTGATGTTTTAAAAATATATACAAACCTCTTATGTTGGAGGTGAAAAAAATGACCATTTTGTCACTATAGTGACTGAAATTTTGTAGTTTTTAAATACTATATGAAATATTTTCATTAATAGTAAATTTTTGATAAGTTGATTCCATGTACATTTAATTGTGTAAAATGTGTACGGTAACATAATAGCTGTTGCATAACATATTTTATGTCATAATAGTTTCTCAGTGAGTAATAACACAATACTACACGTGAATATTTCTATTACTGTGTTATAAAAACTAGCAAAGAGTGCGATTGTAGATTTAATATCGTTGAATATTTTAAAGAATGCAATTTTTTTTAGCCAGTAAATCTTATTTTAACTTTCAATAACGAAATTTGGTGTGTTTTATCATTCTTAAAAATCTCTCAACTCGCCAAAGAAGCACTGCTTTTAGAGCAATTACAAATAGTCTGGTGCCATTCTGTTTGATATTATTTTGTGATAAATTTCACTTTTGCCACCAGATGGGTACTTTACAGAAACAGTTGCAAAGTAGCAAAAAGTCTCGGCCACATAGTATCCATCAAATACCACAGACTCAGCATCACTTTCAGGAACAACTAGTGGAGCTGAACCGAACATTACAAGAGATTGACAGCCACCTGAACAAGAGTGCGCATGAAGTAGACGCAAGCCTAAGAGAACTAGACATCACGACAACTAACAGAAACTTCCAGGTTAAAAGCCACCCTCTATTGGAATCTAACAGTAACAAGAGTTCCTGCAGGCGAGGACCTGCCGAAGCGTCTCAAGAGAAACTACCTAAGATTTATGTATCCAAGTCGGTAGACGACTGTAGAGGTATGTCTCTTAAAGCTAAGGCTGCTAAGCTGATCCCTTCTCCAAAACTAAGAAGAAAGCTGGGAGTTGATGACTTGAAAATAGCAGAATCTTCACCATCTTGTAAGTATTGCAATAAACACGCCATCTACCGTACCACAACGGAAAAACTAGTATGGTCACTTTGCTGGAACATAAGTAACAGCTCATTTTGAAAACCTTTTTTGCACATTTATTAAATCTGTCTTCATTCTCCAAGCATAAAAGTAATTATAGATAAATATATTCAACTTATAATATTAAGATTTCATTTTTAATAGTAGTGTTTTTGGCAAGGATAAAGCGTATTTGTTGATCAGTTTAAGTTCGTAGATCAGTAATTCTATTTGGATAGCTGGGCCATCTTTACTGATGTATTTAAAGTCCATTTAAATATTGACGCCAAGTTCTGTTTTAAATATTGCAACATTGTGCTCATTATGTTATCCTATAGTTTTGTTTTTCTTTTTGCTTTTATATCTGTGACATTTTAGCACCTAATCTATTTGTTCGACATCGAACAGAATCTTTTTTAATTAAAAAGAGACGTTTTCATTATAAAAGAACTAAAACCATATTTTAAAATCGCATATGTTTTCATTTCCACAAGTTTTTATTTTTGAATTCAAAGTGCCTGTTACTGAAATTAAAAATTCACTTTGATATGTACTTCACATTTATGGTGTCCATATGCAAACAGCGCCATCTTCATATAGGTACAACAACGTTTCAGCAAAATTGTATATACTTTTAATAGTATTTCGCTATTCTTCTGTCAATAAATTCTAGACATTTCCTATAGCAAAAAAGTAAGTGAATGAACATTTTGATAGTCTCTATAGCTGAAACAAACGAAATTCTTTGCAATATGTGATAATACAAATTTTATCCAACGTTTGCCACATATGCAGAAAATATACAAAGAGTTTCTGAGAGTTTCTGTTATGTCTAATTATATCTTACCCCACTGTATTTATATCTTAAAGCCTGTACTTCTTGTTTTGAATACCTTATTTCTTGAGGCCTGGAATAACTGTCTTTAATACTTTATTTCAAGACATGAAATACAGATGTGTCGATAATTATACATCTTCGTATTTTTCTAGCATGTTAACTATATAGGATATCTGTATCAGAAACTATTAAGGTTAACACCTACACGTCAGATTGTACACGATTTATGTGCGTAAAGGAGTGTTTTACGCTTTTTATACCATAAAGTATCCTGCCTTTCAGGGTCAATGAACCTCTCAAGATTGTGATTTCCTTGAGATCAACATTCACATACAAAACTGTAGTTTTACAAAATGCCCTGACCTCAGTATTAGCAGGGCGTCAATTGACGCGCCCTGCCATTTTTATCAACAACTATACTAACAATCTTACACATAACTTCAACTTCACATGGTGTCCTGTCCATGATATTAACAGTTATACTGACAATCTTACACATAACTGCAGCTTCACATAATGTCCTGTCCATGATGTCAACAGTTATACTAACAATCTTAAACAATACTTCACCTTCACATGGTGTCCTGTCCATGATATTAACAGTTATGTGAAGGTGAAGTTATGTTTAAGATTGTTAGTATAACTGTTGATATCATGGACAGGACACTATGTAAAGCTGCAGTTATGTGTAAGATTGTCAGTATGGTGTTCTGTCCATGATATTAACAATGATACACAATACGTTACATGATTTGCTCTTAATTATTAACAATCATACATTGATTCTGTTTCACGACGTGACGTGCTGTTCATGCCGCCAATGATACACATAAAAAAACACGACATGAGCCGCTGCCATTTTGATGAGTTTAACTTTCAAGCAGCAGAAACAAACAAACAACAGCACTTGCTGTACCAGTTTTCATTAGCCCAGCTATGCATGAGGTAAAAACTATCTACCAATATTTTTTAATGGCTGAATATACCCATCTTGGTATTCCAGTGGAGTAAGTACAGGAGGACGACATATCTTTTGATATCATTTCAAAACATTTTTGTATTTCAAAGAGAGAGCGTAAAGCCAATCGTGTGGTGCCTTTGGTGTCATATAAAAACTTGTCACCGGTTTTAGTACGTTGTGCTACAGGGCGTGTCACACCCAGCCTCTGTTAAACGTCATCTTAATCAACTGTACTATTATCAAAAACCATCAATATTAGTGTGTACAGAGGAGGAAATGCTATATTTTATCTTAACTCGGGATGTTACAGGTGTGAAAATATTTCTCTGAGAGTCTGACTATATATATATATAATAAACTAGTAGTTTTCAAACTTTACGAACCCATGGAATCTTCATATTTCGTTCCTCCCGTCACGGAACCCTAACCCTTAACCAACTCTTAAAATTCATATACGTACGAATATTTCTTATTTTGTTTGCTTGTACACAGCGTGGTCACAAGTAAATAGACACCACCTTTTCAGATAAAATGAAATTTATCAGTCATATTCACATGAATTGATATATTTATAATTTAATTAATATCTAGTAGATCTTCCTTTCGCTTCGTAGAGTTCGTTGATTCTTTGGGGCATCGTGAGAATCATCTCGTCAATTTTAGACTGTGGGGTTTTCGCCCACTCTTGTTTAAAAACTTGGAGTAGATCGCTCTTTGAAGCTGGTTTTTTGGTTGTTTCTTGACTTGCCGGTCGAGTATGGCCCAGAGGTTTTCGATGGGGTTCATGTCAGGAGATTGGCTCGGACAGGGCAA